CGGCGTCCCCAGACCCCCCCCGCCCCCCGGGCGGGGCGGGGGGGGCTGCGGCCACCCCCAGGGGGGACACGAGGGGACCAAGGGGGTCCACCCGCTGACCCCCCCCCCCCCGGTCCCACAGCCATCCTGGGCATGTACACGCTGATGAGCAACAAGCAGTACTACGACGCGATCTGCAGCGGGACCATCTCCAACACGGAGGGCATCAACAGTGAGTGCCTTGGGGACACGGGGACACGGGGACGATACCCTCGGGACAGGGGACACAGGGATGAGCTCCCCTGGCACGGGGTCATGGGCTCCACGGGGTTGTTCCAGGGGAATCTGGGGACCAGAACCCCTCCCGGATTCACCGTGGTGACACCACACATGCATGCAAACGCACATGTCCCCATGTGTCCGTGCCCCCACGCGTGGTCACGTGTGTCCCTACGCACACGTGTGTGCTCCAGGTGTGGTGAAGCCCGACACGTACAAGCCGGTGCCGGATGAGCCCCCAAATCCCACCAACGTGGAGGAGACGCTGCGGCAGATCCAGGCCAACGATGGGGCTCTGGAGGACGTCAACCTCAACAACATCAAGGTGAGGGACCTCGTGGCACTGTCCCCAAGGTGTCCCCAGGGTGCTAGTCCCAGTCCTGGGGTGCCAATCCCCATCCTGGGGCGTTCCCATAGGGGTGGTCCCTATCTCAGGGTGTCTCCAGGGCACCCCAAAGTGCCGGTCACCATGCTGGGGCATCATTGTGTCCCCCAGAGTGTCCCTGGGTGCTGCTCCCTGCCCAGGATGGTGCCAAGGTGATGGGTCCCACCCTGCGCTGTCCCCATGAAGCTTGGTCACCCTGTCCCAGGGTGCTGCTCACTGTCCTGGGGTGTCCCTGCAGGGTTGATCCCTGTTTTGGGGTGTTTGTCCTCATCCTGGAGTGGCTCCAGGGTGCTGGTCTTCATCCAGAGGCATCCGTGTCCCCTTGGTGACATCCCACATCCCTTCAATGTCACTTACATCCCTTGTGTGACACCCAGCACCCTCTCAGGGATGTCCCGTCACCCTTGGAGACATCTGCACCCCCTTGCTGCCACTTACATCCCCTTGGTGACACCCCCATCCCCTTGGTGACACCCGCATCCCCTTGCCGCAGGACATTCCCATCTCCACGCTGAAGGCCATCTGTGAGGCCATGAAAACCAACACCCATGTCAAGAAGCTCAGCCTGGTAGCCACCCGCAGCAACGACCCCGTGGCCACCGTGAGTCCCAGCCCTGTGTCCCCACCGTGTCCCCAGACAGAGGGGACAGTCCCCTGCCCCGGGCTCCATCCTGGACACCATCAAGGCCAGGTGACGGTGGCTTTTCCACTGTCACCTGGGGCATTGGTGGCCCAGGACATGCCAGAGGGGGGGTGCCAGCCCTGGGTGACACCCTGAGGTGACACGCAGGCCGTGGCCGAGATGCTGATGGAGAACAAGACCCTGCAGAGCCTCAACATCGAATCCAACTTCATCACCAGCGCCGGCATGATGAGCATCATCAAGGCCATGTACCACAACACCACCCTGAGCGAGCTCAAGGTGGACAACCAGGTAGGGACAGGCACCCGTGTGTGGCCTGGGGAGGGGACAGCGGTGTCCCCAGCTTCCCGGCGTGCCTGGCTTCACCCCATCCCTGCAGTGCCAGCGGCTGGGCGACACGGTGGAGATGGAGATGGCCACCATGCTGGAGCAGTGCCCCTCCGTCGTGCGCTTCGGCTACCACTTCACGCAGCAAGGCCCCCGCGCCCGGGCCGCCATCGCCATC